GGGGCTGAGCAGGGGCAGGGCCCTAGGCAGGACACTGGGGAACCTGTCTACACGGCCTGGGGGAAGGGTAGGGCGGAGGTGGCCTGGGTGGCTCTGCACCCCCGCCCCCTCCCCGAAGCAGCAGGGGCCTCCATTGCTTTGCCCCCTGTGGAGACGGGTCACTGGCCCTAGGAAAGGGAAAAGGGGGGAGAGGAGGCCCCCTTGCCAGTCCCAGTGGAGAAGGTTGGGGAAGCTGCCTCCTGCTTTGCTTCCCCTAGGGAAGAGGCAAAAAATATCACCCTCCTGCCGTGGCTCTCAGCCACCCCCGGGGAGAGGGAACACCGCCCCCCCCAAGCCACAGGAGATGGGGGGGAGAAAACGGCTGCCCCCTTGTCCCAGTGGGAAAGGGCAGGCGAGAGCAGCCCCTGACCTCTGGCCAGGTATCTGAGGGCTACCTGTACGGCAGGAATGCAGCCCTGTGCCCTCTGCCTGATGGGGAGGTGTGTACTGGTGAATGGCCTCTCTCCAGACAGAAAAGGCCCATTCCTCAGCCATTATGAAAAAAGAGAAGGGGCCCCAAGACCTGAGTGCTTGTGAGGAAGGGGGGGAGAGCCCTCCCAGAGCATTTGTGGGAGCAGCGAGGGCCAGTTTGCCCCTCGTGAGGGAGGAGACAGGTGAAGTGGTTCCTTCATCCACTCCCCCACTTCTCTTGCCTTTGGTTCCCACGGAAGATGAGGTGAAGGGACTTGCCAAAAGTCACTCGGCAGGTCAGTGACAGAGCCAGGGATAGAGCCCAGGTTTCCTGACTCCCAGTCCAGTGCTCTATCCAAGGTCTCTCCCAGCCCGTGTATTGTTTATTTATTTGTTATGTCTTCATGTGATAAAGTGGAGTGAGACCTGGTGTGATTGAGAACTTAATTCAGTGAAGATGTGCCACATCACTTGGTGCATCTGAGGTACATAAAGAGCTAACATTGGTACTGGTAATTGCTATGGCCTTTCTGAGATTGTTACAAGCTGGCACACATTAGAGCAGCCCTGAAGGGCACCAGGGACTGAAGCAGTCCATAGGTAGTCCCAGCATTGGGGCCGGTACAAAGGTAGCACAGTATCAACTTTATCCCTTGTAGGTGCACTGAACAGGGCCCAGCACACCTGAGGATGGAGCCTATGACTGTCATAAAAATAGTTCAGTAATTTCTTTTAGGTAAATAAATGAATTTATTGGAACCTGCTATGTTAGCATTCTGCAAATCAATCAATCAATGGAGAAAGAAAAGGCATTTATCCCCTTGAACACCTCCCAAACAAACAAGTTACTTTTCCTACCTCCGCTTTATGTTCAGCTATATCCTCATCCTCCTTCCCTTCCATTAACTCAGTTCACCAGAAACACTATTTCACTCATTTAAATAGGTTCCCACAAAACAAATATTTTAAAACACCAAATACAAAGATATTTCTCATTACCTTTGATGTGAAAAAATCCACAGTTTATAGCACATTTTTTTCTAATGATTGTCGTCATCTTTAAAAATTACCTATGAAGAGCTGTTGCTGTGTTCCCAAGTTAGTCAAGGATCAAGCCTAGTTAGCATTGTTCATTAAACTGGAAATAGTTGTTTGTATTTAGTCAGGTACAGTACCATTTAAAAAAAAAAGACTTATTGGCCAGGCACAGAAGTTACCAGTCATTGATTTTCTGCTCCTTTATGATAATACAACAACTCTCCTAAAAGACCACAAAAGGAGTAAAATGTACAAATATAAACCTAACACAATTCCCTCCCCTCCTTTCTCCACCAGGACAACAACATCAGCTGCAACTTGGAAGATCCAGTACATGAAATGTCAAAGACAGAGTGTATTTGTTAAAATCACTACCACCAATATCTAACAGCATATCACAAAGGTATGCTGAATCACTGTACTCTGACATCCAACAATACCTCCAGCAGATAATTCTGATTAAAATGGTATTAAACAAGAGAAGCCATATGTTTGGTACCGTGGTATCTCATTCTGGGAAGTGCTGCCTGGGAGACTCTCCTGGAAATATCATAACATAGTGGGATTCCTCTCTCCTTAGACAAAGGCATACATTTCAAAATGCCTTCCTAGCTCCCACTCTCAGGCAGGCAGTTGCTGATAATGCTAGGTAAATTATTCCTAAAAATTTGGACGGAAGGAAAATTGTGAAGTAACAACTTCTTCCAACAACAGGAAATATCTATTATGTCTCTTTAACCTACACTGCCACCTGCTTAAAAATGTGAGGAATCTCAGGAATGCTTGTGGATGTCATGCCAAAGAAATCATTGCCTACCTCGGGTATCTCTTTGTGGAGGGTATTTAAATAGTTTTTGTGACATGACTATTGCTTTTAGGGGCAGGCAGATGTATAGATATTCATTCAAGATGTAGCAACTGATACTTTAAGTGTATAAATTGTAACTAAATACGTTCTGAACATTTTTAACTAGCCAAGTTTTTCCAAGCGTGCCTCTTAACAGCTGTTTCTGTGTTTCTCAGCTGTTTTTCTCAAAACATTCCTCCAAATATCCTGTCCTCAATTTTTTTAAAAGAAGTATGTGTAAAAATGTCACAAGAGGCATAACAACAACAACGGATCAAATCCTGAAGTTTTAATCAGGGTTTTATTCTGTCCTTTGTGGGGAAAAGCTCTTGCTAATTTCAGTGAGGTTTTTTCTGATTAAGGATGGAATACATTGAAGGGCTGAATAAAAAAGTGCGTAAATGTTTTAAAATTTGGTCTAATAAAACATAATAAGAAATAACAGCATGTTTTATGTGCATAGCTCTATTTATCTGAGCAACTCAAAACAACAAAGATCTCTGTCTTAGGATTCAGGGCATGCTACCATCATTCATACATAGAGAGGACATTCCATGCACAGATGTCCCCATCTCTTGTGAAGTGATGCTGGAGAGAGGGTCAGTCATCACTGCAAGTGTTTTTCCCTCCCACGCAAACTCTATAGAGGGCAAAGAAATAGGGACAGTCTCTAAGGACTTGTCCACACAGGGACACTCAGGAAAGTTTAGAGCAGGGGTCGGCAACCTTTCAGAAGTGGTGTGCCGAGTCTTCATTTATTCACTCTAATTTAAGGTTTCACATACCAGTAATACATTTCAATGTTTTTAGAAGGTCTCTTTTTCTAAGTCTATAATATATAACTAAACTATTGTCGTATGTAAAGTAAATAAGGTTTTTAAAATGTTTAGGAAGCTTCATTTAAAATTAAATTAAAATGCAGAGCCCCCCAGACTGGTGGCCAGAACCTGGGCATTGTGAGTGCCACTGAAAATCAGCTCACCTGCTGCCTTTGGCACGCATGCCATAGATTGGCCACCCCTGGTTTAGAGTTAATCAGCTAAAGGTGTGAAGTCAATAAGCATAAATTAAAGTGTTTTAACATCCCATCCCCCCAGTACTCTCACTCAGTGGAGTAAGATTTAAATTACAGGGAACTAAGGCCACTTTATCCCAGAATGGAAGTGTCCACACACGGGGTTGACACTCAGTGCACATTGACCTCACACCTTTAGTGATTCATCTTAACTTTCTTGACTACC